GACGGGGGCAGGGGAGGGAGGGGGTGACGTTTCCTCGCGCTCTTACACCGTTTGGGATCGAACACGTGGTGAGTGTGAGTGAGCGGGTCAGTCAGCAGAACTACTCACCCTCATGTCTCACCCATCAATCTGACTGTCTGTGCTCTTGGACTCTGTCTCCCCCTGGTGGTTACGGCCTGTGTTAAGTCGTTTATAACCATTAGGGTCTATGGACTTTTTAATTCGTGCTTTTTATTTGGTCATTTAAAAAATGTCTTTTTTTAAAAAGAAACGGAATTAATTGCCGCGTGTTTTTGTTTGCATCGTTTCACGCAATGAATTTTTTTTCTGCAACATTGATTCAAACGTTTACCACCCGTTTGCACGAATAATTAAAATCGAAAATCGAAATTGAATTCTGAGTTACTCCAACTGAGTTAGATCTAATTTAAAAGTTGGTCAACTATGGTATATTGATGACCTTATATGGAGATGTTCATTTAAATACTGACCTTATATGGAGATGTTCATTTAAATATTGACCTTTTTAAAAAAAAATACTACACACGTAATGGTCAGATGAAAATACCACAGTAAAATATAATTCGTCTTTCAGACTCCAACGTTAACAGCGCAAAGCCTTAAATGATATAACAAAACGAAAATGAAATAGTTCGGGACTGCTAATTATTGTACTTAACAAGAGTGAAGGCCACCAGGGGGCGACATGTACACTACCGATCCAAAAACGCAATGAAGGACATCAACACGACCTACTGAGCTGCAGCGTCCCCTGTGGTAATAAATGTAAATGAATCCATGTCTATAAATGCTCCAAAAACCACTTCCTTGCTTGTCTACTCTTATTATGGGATGTCAACTTTACGAAGAGACAGAAAATGTCACGTCTACCTTGACATAACCTCGACAAGTTGGAGAAATAAATGGAGGTTTAGGAAGGCGAAAATCTCCAGCGATTTCAATTCATTCCCCCCCCCCCCCACACACACACACCTGCACACGTGGCCCAGATGTAGGTCAGCGCCTCCTGGTGTTCCCTCTGTCATTGGAGCCAGAGGAGGACACCGTGTTCAGACTGGTTCCTCAACCAGACCGGACCATGTGCAGTGGTCTGGAATAATCACGATTGATTGAGAAAATAATCTGGATTATTCCACTTCTAACCTGTGATTAATCCAATAGAAAATGTTAATTATTAATTGCAAGCGTTAATTAAAGGCAAATGTCATCTGGGATGGTTTGAAATTATGAAAATAAACATGATCACAAGGTGAATTAAAAGGTGTTTGTGTCTGTAACCGGAACATTCTCGAACCACAGATTTATATTCAGTTATCTACAGCCCACACTCTGGGGCAGGAGAGTGGACTCAGACTCAAAGACTTTGTCTGGTCTTTCTGTTTCTCTCACCCAGTCTGCTCAGCTCAGCCTTCCGTCTCTCACTAACAGATCACTTCCAGAGACGACACTCAGCAAACATCAAAGAACCACAAATGAGCTGAACTGAACCTGATGAATCCTGGGAAATCAAAATACATTATTTCATATATAAATATATATAGATAGATATATTTAATATATCGTATCGTTGCCCCCTGTATCGTGATACGTATCGTCAGACTCTTAACAAACACCCCACAACACAACCTTTGTACAAAAGGACACAGGAATCAAACCAACAACTCTTCTCTTGTTTTCTGTCATCACTTCCTCTTAGCCCTTCTCCTCTTCTTCTGCCTCACCCACCCCCCCCACCTCACCCGCCGACCTCTTGTTGTAATGACATGTTATTGATGCATCAATGTGTGTTTGTTCAAAGTCTTAGAGGAGAAATAAACAGCAGATATGATTGATTTTACCGACCAATACTGTCAGTCGACCTCACCTTACACAAACAATAGGAAACCA